GCATTGAAATTCTCCACATTAAATGAAGAAGAATCTAGAGCATTGAAGATATCCCTCCTAGCCATCTACAAATAGAGGAAGAGATGAGATCAACAAAGTGAGGTGAGGAAATCCTCCATGAAAGAAAAAAAACCTGACTGAATATCTCTAGGGAGAAGTTTGAGTGATACCTCTCTAAGGAAGTTTGAATACCACCATTATAGGTGATGCTTGATTATTTGAGAGTACCTCTAAAGAGATGTTTGAGTGTTAGACCTCTTTAGGGACATTTGATGTTACCACCATACTTGGTGAAGTTTGATTGTACCTATACTGAAAGACTAGGAAAACCACTACTAGAAAAAATCTCTATAGCGACGGAATTGCTATGAAAATTCTGTCGCTAATTTCATCCTCTATACTACTTTCCGTCGCAAATTTCCTCGCAAAATCGTTTGCGAGGGAATTTGTGACGGAAAGTAGTAGCGATGATGAAATTAGCGACGGAATTTCCATAGCAATTCCGTCGCTATACAAGTTTTTTCTAGTAGTGAACTTGACTTTTGTAACCCATCACTCTATAGTGAAAGTTTGATTCTGGATTAGTGTCCCGTGAGTTTTTACTTCTTCACATTGGAGAAGGTTTTCCCACGTTAAACAAATTGCCTATGTTCTTCCCGACTCTCTCCTCTTGCATTTTACTGTTTCGTTTCCGCAATCAACTTGAGGGTCCGACTTGACCCAACAATTACGACGTTGTTTTATTGTATTTTTTTATGGATTCATTTTTTCTGCAGTCAATGTGGATAAGTTATCGACATTGAGCCCAAAACGACGTTCTTTTGGGACAGAAATCAAGGTATTTTTGTAATTATAATTTATTTCAGGATTATATCAGTCTTTTTCATTATAATTTTTTAATATTTCGTCCCAAAATAACATCATTTTGAGAGTGAATGTAGATAATTTATTTACCTTCACTGTAAAATTTTTAAAACTTTATATATATATATATATATATATATATATATATATATATATATAAAAGTGAGAATTGAATACACAACCTAAAACATCTTATGTAAATATCTTACCAATAGATTAAAGGTAATGGCTTTTTGCTTTATTGTATCTGCTGCTGCACAATCCATGATATCTTAAAAGAAGGCGCATTGATTGCATTTCATGGCCCATGCATGGCCAAAACAATCAATCACATGGTGCACTAGGGCATCAAGGGACAAGGAAGCAATTAGGGTGTGGGAGTGGGGACTAATTCTTTTAACCTACATAATTAAATTTTGGCCTTCATTCCATACCTACTTTGATATCTGAAAGGTTCTGATTCTATCACCCACGTGTGGCTCAAAGTTCGCATTACTTTTCCATCGACATTAAGCACCCCAACGTGTGTGCTTTGATAAGATGTCAAGTCATATGCTAGCTGCCTGCCTACACTAACTAAGGTTCCAAATATTACATTACCTAATGGTAAAGACTATATATTTATAAAGACATAATAAGGTTCTAAACCATATATATAACGTTTGACTACCTATCCTTGTACTTCAGATATTTTCGAATCCTTTTTACAAAAAAAAAAAAGGAGGGGAACAGAAAACAAAATAATCTTTTAATTTTGATTTAAATTTAAATACCGCAATAATTTTATTCAGTTTCCAAACCATTTTTTATCCATGTACAGTTTCTAATGTTCCCCGTACAATCTTCTAAGGACGTCTAAATATTCATTAGTCTGATTATATATATGCATATATACACACACACCCTGGAAACTAATAATTTAATAGTGGAGTACATAGAGCTAGCTAGAGGTAATCGGCAAACAACGAAACCAACAAATATTCATTGCTCTGATTCAACTTAATTGGCTGGAAGACAAGTTGATGGCCCCTTTGTGTCTATGGTGCAATTCCAAGAGAAGAGAAGTTGTGTTGGGTCCTGAAAAGAATGCCGTTGGTTTTATTATATCACAGATATTGGTGCCTCAGTTAACAGTGACACTCTCTGTATGCTCCGTTGGCCATTCTTTCACTTTTTAGTTAACATACCTAACATCTATCATGTACCTATGAGCTGTTAATTTTTTGGAGTCGTGCGCTTGTGGTTTTGTTATGTGGTCCAAACAATACTTGTAGCTTTTTTCTTTGGGTAATTATGTGTCATTGGCATGCACGTTTTATATTATTGCGAGACTAATCCTCAAACACCGGTGACTAGAGGCCTTCTCAACATTTTTTTTTTAAAGGTTAGAACTTTAGTCTAAAATCTGAATATATAATAATTAATGTGTATATTAACAATACTACACCATATGTTATTTTTCATTTTTATTGCGTTTAGTTGGTGATCTAACTAGCACTTTAATTTCATAAAAATTTCTCTACTGTCCAGTGACTCCAGTCAAAGGAAGGTTATTCATTCCGGGTAAGAGTTTTACAAGGATTTTTATTACAGATTAATCTCAAATGATTTGCATGCATAATTAAAATTCAAACCTACGTACTTATATTCATCTATTCATTCATTACATTGCATTTTTGTCCGTCAAAACGAGCGAGTCCCTTGAAGTTATTGTGTTAATCTTAAAACTTTGTGAATTTTCTTTCCTGTTTTTATATTTTCCCACTAAAATTTATTTTTATTTTCATTTCAGTATATTACTGTTTTAGCCTCAATTATATTTGATAATTGGGAGAGTAATATACATGCTAAAATGGGGGCACGTCTTTTTTTTTTTTTTTTTTGTAACAATAGGGGCACGTCTTTAATATAATTTAACTACTCCATATATTAAGAAATAGATTCTGAGTTTCTAGATTTTATTAGCCTTAATTAACCCATATTTGGCATCATATGGAATGATTGAAGAGTCTAATTAAGCGAGATTGGATATGGTCAATAGCTGACTTAATTGACCCCAAATGAAAAATTAATTTGATGAAATTAATTAGTTTAGTTTGAGTGGGTAAAAGATAAACCTGAATAAAAAAAATCGTAAAATTTAACTTGATATATAACTTTTTCTTTTTATTATTTTCTAAATGAGATTTATTTATTAATTTATTTATTTTTAGATACAATAATGAAAATTGAACACATAACTTAATACAAATTACCAAAGCTCTTCACAACTAGATCAATTTTAGTGGCTTAAATGAGATTTATTTTAGGGATTTGCATTTGTCATTTAACATGACACAACAAATTTTTCTATACAAACAACATTTTGTGGGGCCCACACTTTTTGATGAAAAAAGAAAAAAAAAAAGAAATTAAGGCACGCAAAACGAATCTCTATAACATTACACAATCACTTTTCCTACAACATAACTCTTATAAAACCCTTTATTTTAAGGGAAAACTTTTTTGTTCTTTTAAAGTAACTAAATTATGTTCTTTTAGCTGCTTACAACTATCTATTTCGGAGAGTTTACAGTTATAATATTAAAGTTATATTTTTTTTTTTACTTTTTACGTCAGCTGATAATTTCTGAAAATATAAAAAAATACAACTTTAATATTATAGTTATTTACTTTCTGGAGACATAATTATAAGTAGCTAAAAGAACATAACTTAAATCATTTAAAATGAAAAATTATTTTCCTTTATTTTAAAGTATAAATATATGCTGATCTGGTGACTCAACTAGAATTTGATTGGATGAATCAGTTTAGGTTAGCCAAAAAGTTTCCAAACTTGAGCTGTCTCAAAGTAAAGTTTGGATCTATTCTCTAAACTCTGACGTGATTACGCTCCTAATTTAGCCACCTAAACTTTCAGGAAAATATGACACCTATACTTAAAATCTAACACTTTTTCTTATAATAACTACTTTGTTTTTCAGAAAAAAAAAATTGAGACGAAAGTGAAATTTGTTTGAATTTCCTTTTTCTTAAAAAAAGTAATATGGTAAGAGATAGATGAACGTATTTAAGTGTAAAAATAATATTTGTTAAAAATTTGATACTTGTGTTAAATTTTCTGAAATAGTAAAATAGTTTCAGCAATTAGGAAAAAAAAGAGTTCACCTCTAGAATACATCTTGATATGATATATATGGCGCTATGCTATACAAAGAAAAATGATATCAGAATCACAATTTGTATATTTTGGTTACAGAATCACATATTTAAATATATTCAATTTGTTTACCAAAAAAAAAATATATATATATATATATATATATTCAATTACGCACAAATTGATCGAGTATCAGTTCCATCATTCCATGTAGGCATAGATATTTTGATTACTTAACAGTTAAAGATGAAAAAAAAATACCACTTTATGATATTCCATGTATGCATAGATCATTTTATGATATTGTTGCTTACAAGTTAAGAAGAGAAAAAGGGGGAAATTTTCAAAAAGAAAAAGGGAGAAATTAAAAGAGGTGATGAGTCATGTACCCACTTCCCACATGGTTAAGGCCCTCCAATCAACGACTTCCGTGTGGGACCCTTTCCCCATCACATGTTCGCAAGCCTCGTGATCCAACGCTTCAGGATTCGCTCCTCATATCCCATTCAATCTGAGCCGTTAATTCGTGGTCCACGGTCTACAGTACCATTGGCTGTGTTTGTTCCTCCCTTGTCCCCTGTACCTTAAACAACATTACAACCTGCTCTTTCATGTCCCTAATGTCACCGGCAATCATATCTGTACTTTTGCAACCCAACGCCACGCGCTGCTTCAACCGTGTGGTGTAGGTCCCATGCTACAATGCTGCCTTGTCAACATCTGATTGGTCTGTGACCAAGTATTGGTCACAGTGGGAGGTAGGCTAATGGGTTCATCATGGTGCTCAATTCATGCAGCAAGAGAATAAGTCACCTAGATATTGTCCCTCACTAATGTTGCTATAAAATTGATGAACAACCCAACTAGTCTCACACCACATCTTCTTCAATCTCCATTCTCAATTATTACATCTCTCTACCCCAAAAAAAGAAATCACTCAGAAAATCAGATTGAACAGAGTTTTGATTTGAAATTAATCAGGTGAATAACTATTTTCAAGTCTATATAGCTATAGCTAGCCTCATACCAAGAAATGGACACAGAGATGAATCTCAAGGACACAGAGTTAAGGTTGGGATTGCCAGGAAGCGATGAGAGGGAGAAACGTTCATGCAGTTACTCATTTGTTAGAAGTAACAAGAGATCTTCACCAGAAGCAAGTGAGGAAGAGTCCATAAGCAAGAGCACCATGAATTCTGATGATTCTGATACCACAAGTGATGATGACCAAGACAATATCCCACCTGCAAAGTAAGTGATATATATAAATTTTTGATTTTTTAATTGTATATGAGTTAATGTTGATTAAAGTGGTTTGAGTGTATATTTGGGCTAATGAAGAATGAAAAATAATGGCATGCAGGGCACAAGTAGTGGGATGGCCTCCAATTAGATCTTATAGGAAGAATAGTGTACAACAGAAGAAGGATGAAGAGGATGAAGGGGCTGGGATGTATGTGAAAGTGAGCATGGCTGGTGCACCTTACTTGAGGAAGATAGATCTTAAGGTTTACAAGAGCTACCCAGAACTCCTCAGGGCCTTGGAAAATATGTTCAAGTGCACATTTGGTAAGAACCAACAACAAAATTAAAACAATCCTTTTTCTTTTTTTTCTTGAATTTTGTAAATACTATAGTCAACATTTAAAGGAATAAAATTATAATGGGAATTTACTGGTTGTTTTTTGATATAGGTGAATATTCAGAAAGGGAAGGGTACAATGGATCTGAATATGCTCCAACCTATGAAGACAAGGATGGTGATTGGATGCTGGTTGGAGATGTTCCATGGCAGTAAGTTCTTCTCTCATTCTCATCAGCTCAAGTTTTGTTCTATTTCTACTTTTTTAATTCTTTCTTCTTCTTTTTAAATTTGTTGTTTGAAGTAAATATTTATTGTTGTATATATCTCCAACTTATAGAGTTGTTTTTGGCTTATGTTATTGCAGCATGTTCATATCCTCCTGCAAGAGGCTGAGAATTATGAAAGGATCAGAAGCAAAGGGTTTGGGTTGTTTTTGACCCCCAGGGTCCATATACATATGTCCGAAACATGGAGTAAAACAATTTACAGTGATGTCATCCAAGAGATTTTGCTCTATTCGATTGTATCTAGCTGATTTGGACATACATACTTTTCTTTTCCTTTCTTGGTGGCTTTTCCGACCTGTTTCTTTTAAGTATTCTCTTCTTCTTAATCCTCAAAGCCAAAACCAGAATGAAAAACTGAAATGGAAAGAGAATAAAAGAAAAGCAATTGCTATTTTAATTGTACAGAGGATATATATAATATCTCATTTTGTCCTAGATCTGGCTACGTACATATTATATACAAAAAAAGGGATCCAACTTTCATTCTTTCTTTCTTCTTTTTTGTCATAAGATCTATAAATATCTTTTAAAATGTTATTTGATACATGATTTATAAAGAATCATTTTAGTCTAAAAGCTTAAGATTTAGGCGATGAGCATCATGAGATGAATAAATTCTTCTTGTGACTCAAAGATATCCGAACGAACCCGATCGGTGGGGTAACTTTTCCTAATATCTACATGATTCCATTCATCCTATTGTTTTGGGTTCACATTTTTGCGTTCATGAATTGCAAATTTAGGGATAAATGGTAATTCACTATTTGCACAAATTAATTTTCGTAAAATACAAGTTAAAGAAACAGGTACATTGATCTCTGTACAACAAATTTGAATCCGTACTCTTTAGCGCGTGTTTGGTGTGACGTATACAATCTTGATAGTGTAAGCTTATACTATACGTTATATGACATTTTCAGCTGTTTGGTGTGACCACCGTATAGTATAAGCTTATACAGCAGGATCCCTTACTACATCAAAATGATGTATAACTTAATCCGGCCCAAAGGGGAGGGATAAAGCCTGATAAGAGGTTGATGTATTAACATCATTAACCACTGACCAGTGTAAAAAATTAATATAATTTTAATATTAATATATTAAAAAGACATATTAATTTTTAATATATTAAATATTTTTATTTTTACAAAAATTAATTTATGTTTTAGACACACTTATCAATAAATTTTTATAAAAATTAATATTATATGATATTTTTTAAAGAATTATATAAATTTTTTATTAAAAGATATTTTTATTAAAAATATTCATTTTTATATAGTGTTATACAATGTATTACCAAATACTAGATGATATTATCTTATACAATATATCATTTTATACTATACCGTGTCAAACGCTAGATAATATTAAAATTCAATCAGGTCTTATACAATCAGGCCTTATACTATCAGGTCTTATACTATCAGGCCTTATCCTATAGTATGCACCAAACATGAGTAAAATAATATTTTTATGTACCTTTCTTTTCAATGATATTCATCTGTATTTTTATTTTCTATTAACTTTCCTTACTTTAATTTTCTTTCTGCTCTTTCATTGACCTTCCATTCACAGAGAGAAAATTCTTTTCCTCCTTAGCTGTTTTTTTTTTTTGGTTTGATATTTCTCATGATATAAGAGATAAAAATTATCTCTAATACACATATAAAAATATGTGGGGGCCATACAAAAAAAGAGAAAATAAAAATAAAAATACGAGTCACACACTTTTATATGTGTATCGAAAATAATTTTATCTCCTATAATATAAGAGATATTAAATCTCATTTTTTTAATAATAAATATTTATAGTCATTGGTTACAAATAACAAATAATAAAATTTATTTTCTCAAATTTTACTGTCTTGTTTAATCCCAACAACATATTCAATTAGCACGGAATTATGGAAACTTTACTGTACCTTTAGTAACTTTAATTCAAAATTTCAATCTAATCAAGATAAATCAATTGATTAGGAGATTACCAACATTAACTAAAAATACTCAACTTATTGGTCTATCAATTCTAGTAGGGAATGTTTGGTACATAATATAGAATAAAGTCTGATAGTATAAGACCTGATAGTATAAGACATGATTGTATAAGACCTGATTATATTTTAATACTATCCAGTATTTGGCATGATATTATATAAGATAATATATTGTATAAGATAGTATCATCCAATATTTGGTAATACACTGTATAATACTAGATAGGTTAAAAATAAATATTTTTGTCAAAAATACCTTTTAATAATGAATTTACATAATTCTTCCAAATATATCAGATGATATTGTTTTTTATAGAAATAGGTTGATCAGTGTGTCCAAAAAATATATTTATTTTTATAAAAATAAAAATCTCTAATATTTAAAAAAATTATATATTGAAAAATTATTTTTTATTTTAATATACTAATATTAAAATAATATATTAATTCTCGAGAACTGTATTGGTTAATACATCAACTTCTTATCAGGCATAATCCTATCCTCCCAGGCTTTATTAAGTTATACATCATTTTGATGTATAAATAGATCCTGCTATATAAGTTTATACGATACGATGATCACACCAAACAACTAAAAATATCGTAACGTATAGTATAAAATTATACTACGAGATCTTATATATATATATACATCACAGCGCTTACTGCCTAAAACTCAATCAATTGTACGAAGTGGTAAATCAAAAATTTGAGCCCAATATAGAAAATAGGCTTTCTTTAGTTTCGGTATGGTTTTGTGACATCAAATTATTGCTAAGAGATCATGGAGTTCAAAACTCACTCAGTTGTGGTGGCCGGTGGGACAGTGTCCATGCATAGTTACGTCATAAACTCAGCAATCTAAAAGTAGAGCAAGATGCATGAATCCTTATCCAAGAAACTTATTTTATTTATCTGTTTGGTGCCATAGGATTCTACAATTTTCACCACTCCCATGATGTAGACACTTGTTTTAGATCAATCATCTTCCTCCACCAATATTATTTACGCATCAAGATTAACTTATGGTGCGTGCACAGCGCAGTAATTGAGAGTTTGGTTTGCCTAACTGTCGCCAATCCACTTCTGAATTCCAATAGTGCTATCACCTCCATTGACCAACAAATACAGTAGCTGAATTAGTCAAATCTTTTCTCTTATACGCGTCTTAATTTCTTCTGGTTTATAACAAGTAGAAAGGGCTCTCGGCAAATAATAATAAGCACAACAAGTAGTGTAAATTTCAAGAAGTTATGGCTGGGTCTTACCCACAACTTATTAAGAGTTTCTTTTTTTTAAATAAATATCTTAATAAAGTTAACACTAAAACATAACTTATAAAAAGGTTTAATTTTTTAGTATTAATTTTTTGAAATAGTTGGTCAAACACATGACTTACTGTACATATATTTTTTTTTAATAATGAACTAGTGAATTAGTACATCAGAAGGACCTCTTTCAAAAATTTTGTAATGCCTTTATATTTATAGTTTTAGGTTGCAACATTTGTTGAAGATTGTCAATTTAAGCAAACAATGCAGTTGATGGAGTTTGAAGAACAAGAAGACTAACAATAGTTTAGAATATTAACCTTGTTATGGCTCGTTAAGACTTGATAAGTGAGTGCCTTCTCAATTCCAGCACATAAATGCGCAACTGGAGTAAGGATGCAGTCAAATTAGTTGAAAACTGAATAAAGTGAGCCTAGTCGCAAAAAGTCTGCTTTTCCTATATGACTTCACTAGTTTATTATTAAATAAAAATTAAAATAAGTCCAGTATTATGTTTAAGATTTTGTAAAATTAATATTGAAATATTCAATGTCTTCAATATCCATGATTTTATTAATGTTTCTTTTTTTTCAATAAAGAAAACTCCTGAAATCATTTTTTTTTATAAAAAAAAATTATATCATTTAAAAAAAAAAAATTCAAAATGGCATCAAATTAAGAAATATTAAACATCAGTAATTGCTCCATATCAGTAAAATAGTGGCACAAAGGAGAACTCTATTTATCAATCAAATCAATAAAGCATTAGTCAAGAATGGTTGGTCTGTTAGTTACCCAATTAAATTTTAAGATTTGAGTTGTTCAAAAGAGTAATAGATTCAATTCTGAAAGGGGCAATTCCTGATATAAGTGGAGAGATATAAATAATTTACGGCTCCACCCTTCTTCTTGCTTTTTCAAGCAACATTGTTGCCGTTAACCCATGAAGTTACATCGGTCCAGGCATCTTTCTGCGTACTAACGCTACTTACACACTGAAATGTAAATACACGGCGTTACTTTTATTTATGTTATATTTTAGTTATCTGATTGCATTTTGCTCATCTAATGAGTAACATCTATAATTTGATCCTCTCGTCTTTGTATTCATCTCTTTTTAATAAAAAGAATTTTTTATTAATAAATAAACGATTCTTCTCTACTCACTGGGTTTCCACTATATTGAAATTTTGATCTCCAATCTTCATGTATTGTGGAAACCCAGTGAGTAGAGAAGAATTGTTTGTTTATTATAAAAAAATTCTTATTTTAATTTCTTTTTGTTTGTGTTTTCACAGAGATAGAAGGTTGCTCACCGGTCAGGTCTGTATTGTACACACCAACAGGATGGGAGAGACTATTGTTCGAGCCCTGCTTGCTCACATGCGTAATTGCAATTATGGCGGAGTAGTTGGCTCTTTCACAGACTTCTCCAGTGTTTACTGGGAAGTTCATTATCGTGAGGCCTAAAGCGTGGAAATGGTCTTCGGTGTTTACTGGGTAGTTCTTTACCTTGAGCCCTTCTTAAAATGTGTCTCGTTAGTTTGTCCGGTCTTTATTTTGCTTCTTACTTTGCGTTAAAATGTCGTTTAGAGTTTTAGACGACGAAACGGTGTTTTGTTTCTTGCATGAGCTCGCGAGTCTTGTACGAGCTCATGCGTCAGTCCATTGTCGTCTAGAATCATGTAGATATTAGGAAAAGTTAAATTATGATTTGTCAAGTCAAATAAGCTTGATGGTTAAATTAAGAATTAGTATGGCCCGCGCCCAGGTCAGTCCATCACAATGTTTTTGGGCCTAAGAAAACACAATTTGGTCAATGTGGGCTGGATCATTTTTTATACATATTATAGTGAAATGGAATGAGGATTACATCACATTTGTGTGGAATGTGATAGAGTAATGGGTCTTGTAACAGAATTGACGAACCAAGTATCTTCTTCTTGAAGTTCTTGAGCCCTTCTAATCTCTTCGGCTGCTGTCTCCACATTCCTAACAGAATGAATGCGTATTCTTTCAATTGTAAGAATGTTCATTCCCTTTCAAAGGACCTAACCAAGTGTGGGAACGAGAATGGATCCATTCCATACAACCAAACATGGACTAACAAGATTAAAATGTTTTCCGTACTGATACACACACAGTAGGTGCGACGAAAACTTAAGGAAAATCGAGGAAAAAAAAAATCTCTCCCTGTAAAAGCTAATCTCCTCCCCTTACTTTTTTCACTCTCACATACACACACCACACTTACTCACACACAAACATGCCTGGGATGCCATTTCTAACCGTAATGAGCAATCTTACTGTGTATGTTGAAATGAGAAAGGCTCATCAGGCTATGAACATCTACGTACAGATCTTTGCAGCGACACATATTGGGACGTCCAAGGAAGGAGGACTTACAGAGATACACATGAAGATTGGAGATTAGAATTTCAATATAGTGGAAACCCAGTGAGTAGAGAAGAATCGTTTATTTATTAATAAAAAATTCTTATTTTAATTTCTTTTTGTTTGTGTTTTGACAGAGATAGAAGGTTTCTCATCGGTCAGGTCTGTATTGTGCACACCAACAGGATGGGAGAGACCATTGTTCGGGGCCTGCTTGCTCACATGCCTAATTGCAATTATGGCGGAATAGTTGGCTCTTTCACAGACTTATTTGGTGTTTTACTGGGAAGTTCATTATCGTGAGGCCTAAAGCATGAAAATGGTCTTCGATGTTTACTGGGTAGTTCTTTACTTTGAGCTCTTCTTAAATTGTGTCTCGTTTGTTTGTCCGGTCTTTATTTTGCTTCTTACTTTGCGTTAAAATATCGTTTAGAGTTTTAGACGATGAAATGGTGTTTTGTTTCTTGCATGAGCTCGCGAGTCTTGTACGAGTTATGCGTCAGTCCATTGTCGTCTAGAATCATGTAGATATTAGGAAAAGTTAAATTATGATTTGTCAAGTCAAATAAGCTTGATGGTTAAATTAAGAATTAGGATGACCCGTGCCCAGGTCAGTCCATCGCAATGTTTTTGGGCCTAAGAAAACACAATTTGGTCAATGTGGGCTGGATCATTTTTTATACATATTATGGTGAAATGGAATGAGGATTACATCACATTTGTGTGGAATGTGATAGAGTAATGGGTCTTGTAACAGAATTGACGAACCAAGTATCTTCTTCTTGAAGTTCTTGGGCCCTTCTAATCTCTTCGGCTGCTGTCTCCACATTCCTAACAGAATGAATGCCTATTCCTTCAATTGTAAGAATGTTCATTCCCTTTCAAAGGACCTAACCAAGTGTGGGAATGGGAATGGATCCATTCCATCCAACCAAACATGGACTAACAAGATTAAAATGTTTTCCGCACTGATACACACAGTGGGTGCGATGAAAACTTATGAAAAATCAAGGAAAAAAAATAAAAATCTCTCCCTATAAAAGCTAATCCCCTCCCCTTACTTTTTTCACTCTCAAATACACACACACCACACTTACTCACACACAAACATGCCTGGGATGCCATTTCTAACTGTAATGAGCAATCTCACTATGTATGTTGAAATGGGAAAGGCTCATCAGGCTATGAACATCTACGTACAAATCTTTGCAGCGACACATATTGGGACGTCCGAGGAAGGAGGACTTACAGAGATAAACATGAAGGATAAACATGAAGGTTGGAGATCAGAATTTTAATATAGTGGAAACCCAGTGAGTAGATAAGAATCGTTTATTTATTAAAAAAATTTTCTTATTTTAATTTCTTTTTGTTTAGTTATTTTTAGTAAAATTAAAATTTAATTTTTTTAACTTATATCTTGTTTTATTTGATTTATAAAACATATTAAACATAAAATAAAGGCTTTAATATTTCTACAGTGCAAAATAATGTCATTTCGGAGTTATAACGAGAAATTATAATTATAAAAATACATTTATTTCCGCCCCAAAACAGTGTCGTTTTGAACCCAATATAAATAACTTATCTACAATGACCGCAGAAAAATGAAACCCCAAAAAAAACAACAACATGATTAGTCTCATTGAGAACATGATTATTGAGGGTGGAAAAAAAGTTTAATCTCAGCGAAATCCAAGAGTCGGATTAGTCTGAGTTAATAACGTCAGAGATTAATTTGACTGATGAAATGCATATTTGAAGGTTCTACATGGTAATTTTCATCTTTCACAAACAAATTTAACCGATGTTGTATTCTAAATTGAAAGTTTAGTCTCCAAACAATGTTAATGAGGCTAACAAACTAGAGTAGGTCACTACGATCAACCCAGTTAATGTATCATCCCCGCATAACATAAACAATGCCCCCATACATGGAACTAAAATTTACACGCAAAATGCAAACTGTACAAAGAAGTTTCCAGGTAGAAATGAAATATTACTTTGGGCAAGATTTGGCATAAGCTTTTAGAAAGACAAGATTTCATCCGCACTCACCATATCTACAGGCATCCTAGTGTTTTGACCAGCAACAGACCCCATCCTCATATCCAATATTTCCAGTTGTGACTTGACCCATGGTGGATTGGATCTGCCTTCGATCCACAGAGCTTCTCCTGTATCTTTGTGTTTAAAATCAGGACCTTTCGGATTCCTCTGTAAAATTTTCAAAAATATTTGAAGATATAAGACATGAGAAATTCACAAGGGCTTTACAAAAAATGTAAAAAAACATGGAGGATGCAACTTGAAAACAAAATCTCATTCATCAGTGATCTTGAACTACGGGTAGGTTAGACATGTCTATAAAAAATGCAGAGGATAGTCTAGTGTTAATCTAAGCTAAGAAACTTAAGGTAACAATAATATTGAATAAATATGGAGTAATCATCATTTTTTTTGTTTGAATAATTGAATTGTTACTTAGATATTGATCTAGACCATAAAAATAAATTGTTGACAGTATATAACGCAAGCTGCAAAACTAGGGATTGTTCCCTTCACTATTGGGCATATGCTCTTCGATGCAGGAGCAGACGCAGAATGTTCAATGGCAAAGATACTAACAGGTACAGTTAAAATTATGTAATAGTCATGCTGACACAGAAAGCTTAAAAACATCAGTCAGATTCATTATTACTATTTGGATAGAAGGTTTTTCTCACTAAAGAGAAATGGGGATGCCAATGATGGTTTGGCTTGACTGGTAGAGGACTAAACAAGGATATTGGACTCAATTTCTGCTTGTGATCCTTTAAGAATAAGTCATTGATAAGTACCTAAGACCTATGGCATGCCCTAACCTTGGAATAGAGCAACCTACCCTCAGCCTAAACTGTTGAGCAAATACAAAAAATGAATTGTGGAAATCGTGGAAAGGCAAGTTGAAAAAGCATGGTTGATGGCATATAAAGTTCCAGAGAGAAGTACCTCCAAACACAACAGCAGATTAGCAATAATAAACAATAGGCACAAATACTTGAAAGTTGAAACAATCACTCAAAGTCACAAGGAAATAGCATTACAGCTAAAAATAAGCACCTTTTTCATAATTTGCAAGAATTATTAACAACTTACCTTATTTTTCCTATTGTCCCACCACTCCCCTGGGTTAGCAAAGAATGCTTGCCATAATTCTACCACAGAAGAACCAGTACTATTTGCAGCATAACTCACTTTCCTACCTGAAACAATAGTTAAATTTTTTTATTTTTTTTAGCAAAAAGAAAAACCCTGCTGAAGTTGACACTATTTATATATATAACTTGCCATTGCTATTTCCAGTTATGATGGAATCAGAGTCTTGATCATGTGAAGACACTGGCGACGACAGATTACTATCAATGAAGTTAAGCTGCTGAGCAACCACCTGAAAATGAGATGCAAGACATTAACAATAATTAAAAGTATTACATGGAAAATTACAAAAAAAAAAAAAAAAAAAAAAAAACCTTGTAGTATATTTGCTGTTTCCCTTCATCGGTTTCAACAGTGTCAGTTACGAGGCGACCAGCAACGTAAATCTTGTGACCTTTGTGCAGATGCTGAAAAGCAACATGGGCAAGCTCATCCCAGAATGTGAGATGAATTAAGGATGTTTGTGTGGCGTTTTTCTTGACGGAGAGGCGGGTCCAAGCGACCACTTTGCCGGAGGGTAAGTGCTTGATTTCGACGGGCTCGGAAACGATGCCGATGAGGTTGACGGAATTACAAAGCTCTTTCTTCCATTGAATCTCTGTGGGCTTAGGGTATGCCACCATTGACATCGAGCACTTCAAAACCCGCTGCTGCTTCACTTTCAAACGCCACGGATAACCAATTGAATTTGAAGATGGGAAATGGAATTTGGGTTTTGAATTAGGGTTTTCTGGGACCATGAGTAGGTTCCTTAAGCTAGTTGATGATATTGCTTGCTCTAACGCCATCTCTGCTTTCTGCTCTTGCCTTTGCACAATGCTGACAATGATAAAGATGAAGATGAGGGAATTGACGTTTCACATATAGAAAAGATTGGGCTTCGCCCCATTTAAGTGTCGAAATTCTAATTGCCAATTAGAAAAATCAAGTATATTCAAATTTCTAATGTCTTTAATATTTCATATTTATTTTCTAGATTACTATCGTAATGTCTTGTTTTTACATTTTTTTTCTTTATTTTTAATATTTAATTTTGGCTTTGTATTTCAATTTTTTTCTAAACAAAATTAAGGAAGTGTATTGGATTGAGATTTAAAGGGTTTTAATGAATTATTTTTGGACAAAAAATTCTATTGGTATTTAATTATGATTTTAAATGATTAAAAAAAAAGTTGATATAACTTTGTGAAAATCATTTAAAATCATTCATTAACTTTTAAAGTTGATATGACAAAAAATTTAAATGATTTTAAATTTTTGAGAAAATTATTTGTCCTTTTAAATGATATAACTTTGTGTTATTTTAGATCTTAACCGTTGATCACTGTCAATCAACGGTTAGGATTTATTCAATTTTATTGCGAATTAATAATTAATTAATAAGATTGATCCAATAAATCCTAACCGTTGATTGACGAAAATCAACGATTACGATATAAAATAACACAAAGTTATATCATTTAAAAGGACAAATGATTTTCCCAAAAAAATTATATGGTATTCAATTAGGATTTTCTTTGTCCTTTTTCCCAAAAAAATTATATGGTATTCGATTAGGATTTTAAAGATTATTTTAGAATCCATCCAAATTCGGTGGTATTCAATTATGATTTTAAACAAAGAAAAAACATTCTTCTGGTATTAAAAAATTTGACGATTTTACTGAATTTTCTATTGGTGTGGATTTCGTAAGACTTTTTAATGAGAAATATAAATAGGATGTCTCTCTCACAATCTCAACCTAATCCCTAGAATTTCTTGAGATTTCTTTACTACATTGTCTTCTTTTTTCCTTTGGTGAGTCGACTTGCTCGAAGCCGAGTTTCGTAAGGGAGCTTCGCCAAAGATAAAAAATAACAGATTTTTGAAAAATTCTCATCACAAAACAACCCAAAAATAATGGAAAACAAAAAATGTAAGGGAACAAAAAATGTATGATTTTTGTATTAAAAACAACATAAAATAATGGAAAAACAATAGGAGAACAAAAATCTTTCAAACCAATTTTCGTTTTATATCAATGAAACAAGTTCGATTTAAAGAAAGATTAAAACTTTCATAATATGAACCCTGTTACGATCTGATAGATCGATATGTCCAATCATAGATTGGTATGTTAATATAGGATCTGTTTACCCTCCCACAGGTACCTATAGGAGAGGTACCATAAAGATAAGCGGATCACTGTGCACAATAACATAACGACATAGTCAAGGCGTGGAGTGTGTGCACAGTGACAAGCTAAGAGAGAGGGTTTAAAGTGTGTGTACCTTATTGGCTTAACCCCTTATTTATAGATGGGTTACCTGGCAGTTGTGGACTTTTGGGCCTCTCAGGAGCATTGGGGGTCCAATTGTTGATCCATTGTTGTCGTAGTAGGATTAGCATAATTAAGGAATGTTTCCTTAATTCCCTCTTAGCTGTTAGCTCTATTTGGGCCTTCTAGAATATAGGCCTTTGTCAGGTCCATAACAAATCCTATGTTTCGTAACAATACATTCATGACGAAATTCCTTCGCTGTAGGAAACAATTTCAAAAAAAATTGTGTCAATAGATCACTAAAACCTTGTCTTTCGAAAGCCCCTAAGCAATTTAAGGTTTCAATGTATCGATTGAAAATAATTTGAGAAATTTTCTAAACTTTTATGTAATAAAACCCAAAAATTCAAATTCGAAATTTTTGTAGAATATTCAATGAAAACATACACATGATATATGGTTAGAAAACTCTCATCTTGTAGAACAAAAAGCCTAAGGTTTCTAATATCAATTGCAAGAAATTTCAAATGAACTTTAGGTTCTATATGCAAATTTCGGATTATTTTAATAAATAAAAAAGTGTGGGTCTTATAATCATATATGCATAGCTCTGATACCAAATGAAAAAGATAATTTTCATTCCATTGGTCAAACCCAAGAGCAGAAACGAGAAGATACTAATACGTGGAGGGCTAGTATAGATATGTGGAGACTTAGTAAGACATCAAGTTACATCAAATTACTGATTGAGAAAATTATATTAAGTTTTATTTTTTTTATAATATTATTGCATTTCTTTGTTATTTTTTATTGGCTCTTGTAATTTTGAATGTTTATTAGAAATTCATAACATTTTTTAAAATCTTATAAATTCATATTATCCTTTAAAATCTTATAAATTTTATTAAAATCCTTTAAAATCAAATCTTATAAAAACTTGATTGTAAAAAAAATCTCTTAAAAAGTTTTTAAAGTCATTATAATTCTATATAGTCTTTTAAAATCTATAAAAAAAATGATTGTTGGAAACGAATATGGACTCATCCATTTTAGATAGGGAAAAATGTTTATCATTTTAAAGGATGTAAAATTGTATCATTTTAAGTGAGACAAGGAGATAGATAAAGAAGGAGAGAGAGTGGACAAAAAAAATATAAAAATGTGGGTCCCATATTTTTCTTTGTGAGAGTAAAATGACATAAATTGTGTCATTTAAGAAGACAATCACTTTTAGATATTGATCGAACTTTTATAATTACGGATCTTTTCCTCACCAACATTGGTCTATGGGCTTAGCCCATTTGAATAAGAACTTTTTGAGTTTTGATAGCAGCCTACAATGAAATACGGGCTTTCTTGTTCCTCATTTTCCTACACTGTGCGTTGCACTTTTACGGAGAACAAAAGTTCAAGTCATAGTTGTTCAAAAAAAAAAAGTTCAAGTCATAGAGATATTAGCTATATCTCTTCAAGTTAAAAAAATAAATAAAATAAATTTGTAGATATACAACGAGAAACCAAAAAATAGTGATGACAATGCTTATGGGTTGACTTCACACGCGTTGGTGAGATGCGAGATATAAGTTTATATGAGATCACAGCGGGTGGATAAATGAAATGTCCCATTAGTGCTATTGTCGGACTTGAGTTTTCTGGTAAGTGGAGAGAATCACTGTGAGGACTTGTTGACCTTAGGAGACATGAATAGGTCATCCCCATGGATTCTCACAGCTTTATCCATTTAGGTACCATGCACGAACCTCAACTTCTGACTCACTTTCAATTTATTGCGCGAAGTTGTTTCTTTATTTATTCTTACCATCATTCGCAGGTGATGAATTTTTCATACTTTAATTGCCTATGTTGAATTTGTCTAAGCAAACAACATTCTATCAATTTGATAAATTAATGATAATTAGCGGAACGAATCTTTCATGTCCTATTTTAATTTGGCAATCTCAAATGATAATTCTTAATTATGATGTCAACAATGGTAGCTTATTTTTGCATATTAGCTTGTTTTTATTCATATTTGATTATTATTATTTTTGAGTTAATCCAATCCTAGTTATTTTTTTGAGACGAGTTGGCTTTTTCAAGTATTCTCATCAGCTTCGACTCTTTGAACTGGCTATGTGACTAATTCGGAGTGCAGGACAAGTCAAAGATAAAGATATTTAAATCTCTCTAGAAGTGGCATGTGAAGATCAAACCGAGACCCTTTTCTTTTGACTTAATCAATTCCCTTCTTACCAACTTAACTACCACTAGTTGCGAACGATTATCACTCATCCTCTCATTGTTTTATAATAGCTATCGGATTACTAGCATCATAATGATTAACAGTCACTGGGTGACTATAACATATATGAGTATTGCTTATCTTTGAGTGATCAACTGTAGTCACCATAATATGCATCGACCACGTAGTGAACGAAAACATACATATAATTTTAACTAAATGAAAACTTGAATTACAGTGAATATAAAACACTAAACACAGTTGGTGAGGGGATTTGGTTTTATTACATATCTCTGATTTATCAATGACAATCATTGGAGGACTATATATCACATAAATGGTTATTACTCATTTTTGAGTGTTCGACAGTAGTCATTCAATGACTACCATTATACGCATCGAACACACAGTGAAATAGACCATCCTTATAATTACAACTAAATAAAAACTCGAATCTTTTTACAACTCAGTGAAGCAAAACATCTCCATAATTGTAATGAATATAAAAGACTTAACATGAGGGGATCTGGTTCAGTGATTGGCATTGATGCCTCGCGTTGATGTAGTAAGAAAGAACTCGAAGAAAACAGAAAAGTGAAGGAACAAGAAAAAATTAAATAAAGATGAAAATTTTGAAATTTCACAAGAATAATTTTTATTAGTATGTGATATAAGATGAGTATTTTTTTCTAATTAAATTTTAAATGATAGCTATTATTAATTTAATTTTTTTCTTTTTAATTAAATATTACTTTTTTTTTTTTTTGTAATATTTACTTAATGGTTTTTACTCTTTAGTATTAATTTTTCCTAAATAAAACACAGTGCAAGTATATTAGAGAGTTATAATATAAAAATTATTAAAAATCCATCATTTGTAAGCTTGAGTTGTTAGATGATGTGATTACTTATCATACGGTGACCACGGGATCGACTCATGAATTTAATTTCACCGCTCTCATTCTATTAATAAATAATCAAAAATTGTAAACTTTTTTAGCACAAAAAAAAGAAAAAAAAACTGTGCAATATTCATGTGGGATTGAGATGATAATTTATCATCATAGCAAAGTATCACTACTCCTAGAGGCAATGCTACACGGAAAAAAAAAATCACCAGAATTTGAGGATAACTGTTAGAATGAAAAAAGAGTTTTATTAGTGTTATGTTACATGATTTAAGTGTTGTTTCCAACACACAAAAAAATGAAGAGAGAAAGTGAAATGATGAAAGAGAAAGAAAAACATGTGAACCCCACCTCTTTAATGTGTGTGTAGGAAAGTGATGTTATATCATGTTACATGAAAAACATAAAACCCATGAAAAAAGTGGTAAGAACTAATCACCCATCAAATAATCAACAAACATGTCACATTAGTTAGACAAAAAATTCAAAGCAAATAAAGAATTTTGCCTCAAGTATTTCATATCCATACCGCACATATTAATTGAGAGCAAAGACTTCTGTCACTTAATAGTTGAATAAGGTTACAGCGTACTGATTGATATGGATTGGGTTATGAGAGCACCATACTTGTCATTCCATCTCTATCCTCCATTAGAATAAAAGTCCAACTACTTTTGAATAAACAACTCACGCACACCCCAAAGAAACCAAAAGCACCATCATTTTCTGCTGGACTTGCATCACCTAGCATTCTTAAAGCAACCATTATCCATTTCACCTCATTTCAAATTCTCTAGAGTTACATCACTAATAAAAATATACACACCACCCTAACCTTTTAGAAGGACCCACAGCCCACTAGAAAAACTAAGCCCCACTATAAAAGCGCATCCATCACGTTCCACTAATCCCCACTAATTGATACAAAAAGCAAGAGCATATCAAGTGAACTTTTGACAATTTCTTTCCTTTTAAATGAAACTTGCCAAGACAACATGGGGTCTTCTTGTATTTTTTAGAGAATTGACATCGAACCCTGTATTGACAAAAGCTAAAAGAACGGCAAAAAAGAAAGGACTATGGCATCCTACTTTGAATCCAACTTGATGCTAACCAAAGACTAAAATTTAAGGGGGTTTGGAACAGACAAATAACGCGTGGGTCCCAGCAGCATTAGGTGAGCCCTTGATGGGACCACTGGTGGTGCACCAGTACCTGAGGTTTGTCTATGAAGGAGGATTAGTTTCAGGCTTAACTATGCTAGAGGTGTCTGATGGTTGTGACTGGTATATTGCTGACGCCAGTGAAATGGGCATGATGCAGAGTGCCTTTGATTGAAGAAACTGCATGGCAGCCCCAACATTTTCTTCCATTAGCTTAGCTACCTGCCTTTCTGTCCCATCATTTGACCACTTCTCCCAAGCTGGTTGGTTTCTTCCACCCTCACTTCCTTCTTCCTGATCAATACTAAATTTGATAAATTGTTTGGAAAGAAAAACAAAATTATACCAACTACACATTAGTTAGAATAATTACCTCAACTGATGATAATGGGATGTCAGTTACCAGTGGTGCCACTGCACCAGCTCCTCCCAATCTACTCATGCTCAAAACCTGAAAGACAGGTGAATTAACAGTCATTGGAAGTCTTTTGCACTATTAGTATCATATTGCTGACAAATTTAAATTTGGATTGTACGAAACGCCTCGCTTTCACTTTCATATTCAAACAGCAATATGTACTCCCCTAGATGTCTATAGAAATCAATGAAATTGTTACCATGTTTGTAGAAATTGGTTTAAGTATTCACAAATATTGAAAATCAGACCTTCCATTGGTGAAAAACAAATAAGTCCACAGCTGAAGACCGATGGATATTATTGGGTAGTTAAAGTAGCTACAGTGCAAAATAGCGTGAAAATGCTACCATTGGAATCTATTTAGATATTCACTAGTCTTCAGGAATAAAATCCATTGGACAATGGGTCCTCATCCAAAGTGGCACCTGGTGTTCATGACCACAAGTTGAATCCCAACAAAATGATGATTGTGAGGGGCGAGGGGTCAAAGGCATAGGCTAACAGGTTTAACAAAATAAACCACAAATCCCATCAAAAGCTATCATTGATTATAAATTGAGAGGTAATAAGGACATACACCAAACAAAAATAAATATGAAATCTATGACGATCACAAGAGAATTAACCTTCACTTGAAGCCTTAAGAACTTGACGTAATCCACAATTTCATCCAGCATGGCAGCTCTATCTGACTGAACAAAGTACAAATACACAATAATATTAGAAACAATGAAAAATCATGCCACAGAGGGTCAAGTGAAACACTACAGACCGCAAGTCATAAAAATACTCGATATCTTGGAAATGAGTAAATTTATTTCATAATTCAAGCACTCTTTAAATTTAATCTACACATGATCAGAACATGCACAGATGTTTTCCTTACTGTTTTTAACCCCTTTGAGAGAACGGTTTCCCTTGATTAATTATATTGTAATAAACAAACAAATATTAACTGTCAAACAGAAAACAGGTGATATATGGATATAAGAAGATGTTATATTTAAGAGCACAAACTCGATCCAAAACTGATTTCAGCATTTAACAGGTCCATATGTAGTCACAACTTTCTAAACTCAAACACAATAAGTTAGCATTAAATCATTCTTCAAGTGGATATATATTAAAAAATAAAAATAAAATCAAATTACTTATATATAGAGCCCATAGTCACGACAATGGTCTCGCACATCTGACCTTCCACAGACCCCATTAGGATGGAACAGTGAAAGCCTCATGCACTGGGTCACCTTTTTGACTTACTAAACAAATATTGACAGGAAAAAACAAAAAAACATTAAGCATCAATTAAAAATCGACCATGTTTTAATCCATTTTCTAACTATTCTTCCTAAAAGAATGAAGGACAAAAAGTAAGGCAAAAAAGAGGGATAGTAAAAAAATTAAACACTTCATGGCAGTGATTGCATTCATAAAACTCTGCATAATGCACTGTCAAAACAGTCACTTCATCTTCAACGTATTCATTATCTCATTAGGAATCACATTCAAAAAGAAAAAAGAAAAAGAATTTAGCTCCAAGATGAGCCAGAAGTATTCAAATTGAAGCATTATATTTCAAGAAAACTTTTACATGCCAATACACCCTAATTCTTAAGAACCTAATGTTCATAATGGAGCCACATAAATAATGACATCCAATTACTGCATTCACATTAAGAAAGACAGACGCGACCAGTTTCAGCATAGAACATAGATGGTTAGGCTCTAACCAAGTATGTAATGAACAATATCTACCAAGATTCCATTAATTTAGTAAAAAAAAAAAGCGATAGATCAGTCAAACAAGGAGGGTGATAATAATAGATGCATCTTTGCAAATGTTAACCTTTATCTTTTCTAACTTCAGGGTAAACATGAAAGAAATCCCTTACTTGTCCAAGGAAAAATTCCACAACTCCTATAGACAATCGTAAAATTACATATTGTAAAAAAATGATATGTAAGAGAAGTCATGTACCTTGTTGACACTAGGAACCAGTTCTTGCAAAGCCCTGATTCTTTCGGCTATTCTCTCTCTGCGCAACTGTTATTGAACAGAAGCATGAAGAATAAATAAATATTAGCTAATCAAGGAATTAACAATGTCACTCCTCGTTTTAAATGTTAAGCTTCATAACAAAAAGAAAGCCTATATTTTTGAAAATATTCCAAAGCCCACCCTTTCAGCTATGCTGTGTGGATCTGTAGCCTGTCCTCTTCTAGCCCGCACTCTAGGACGCATTGTTGGTGGATGTGGTGCGTTAGGAATGGTATTAGGCATGGGTTGCCCATGAAAAACCTGCAAGAGGCTTATATATGATCAAGAAAGAAATAAAATGCTACTTGATCAACAACTCTCCCCCTAGATCACCCAAAAGCAGAAAAGTACTAAAAAAATAAAAAAGATTCTTGCAAGAAGTAAGCATTTATAGATTAGTTGAAACCAAGCATACATATGAGCTAAAGAGGTTAAAAGATTCCAGAAAATTGACCCTAAGTACTGAATCCAAGGCCTAAATAGCCTAATTTCAACTATATCATATTCTGAAATGTTCAAACAAATTCACGAAAACACTTTCAACAGGTTTGTAATAATATGACCTAAGCTTGGGTTCCAATCTTACACAGTCCATAATAAAGGTTATCCTCCAAGTCAAGTACTATCAGGATGATCCACTCACGAAGTACAGAGTTTCAAATAAGAGCTATCATTGATGCTATGGCAAGTTGGCATCACCAAAAGCATGCCCAAAATATCTGTTACTATGCCAGACAGTGGAAGAATCTCATTTCTCAGATTTAATTATTAGCAAAGAAAGTATCATTCCACTGCTAGTTTGTTCAACTTATTTTCATTAAATTCTAAAACGTTTTCTCTACCCTTTGAATTATATAGGCTAAGGCTAATGATCTGGCATGAAGACCCAAAAAAAAACACACATACACACCGAGCATATTATAATTTATAACTAAAATAACATAAAAACCTTGCTCAATATAACTTTTCATCTTCTTGTTTCTGCAATAACCTCTCCCTTACTCCTTTCATTTGCTAATAAAAAAACATACATTCTTGTATCAATGCTTGATGGTCTAAATGGCAAGAAGCTCAATTCTCCTAAAGCAAGGTCTTGAAAAAACACAGAAGCTGAGTGAACCCTTCCTTGTGGGTCCCACCGTGGCTTCTGGAAATTGGAGGGTTCAGACCAAAAAAAAAAATTCTTGACAAGCTCAAAACAAGTTGCTAAACACTTTTTTTTTTCCATCCTTCCCTTCCCTGTCATGTCGACCATCGAACAAAATATGAAAATGGAATTCACCAAATAGCATCATCACTTTACTTCATCCCCCACAGAAAACTACTCTCATAATCGAATCCCTTTTACGGTATAAGCTAAAAACACCATAATGATCAATCTTCTTACCAAGAAATAAACGGAAGGAAGCAAAACGAAACAATAGTTCTGCTCAAAACTACATACATACTAATATACTATGTCTCACTAAAACCAACCTCACTTTAGTTTCAACATAGGATCATATCTCAAAACAAAAACAAAAACAAAATTTGATTTGTATAACAATAATTTAGGAAATTTTCTGATGAAGTGAAGAGAAAAAAATGTTATGTTACATTCTTAGCTCTGCCATCAACAGCGTCCTCGCGGAAGCGCTTGCCACTCCCGGAAGCATCGTCGGGCTTCAAGAACCCTCCTTTACCTTGCTCCAAACTCAGCCCCAACTGGTACACCGGTGCATGGAATCCACTTCCGGCGCCGAGGTGGCTGGAGGCGGCGGGGTCGCCGGAGTTAAGCTGCAGCATCATCGGAGGCGGAGCCGCCAACGAAGAAGCATCGGTTCCGGCCAAGGCGGAGTCGGCGGAAGCGAAAGTCGAGAGGCCGAGGATTTGCTCGAGGAAGTCATCGGCGGGAGCCTCGGAAGGGTGACTCGCCATGACTCGGTTTTGACTCGGGCGAGTTCAGAAGACTCGGTTTGTTTGTTTTTGGTGTGCAGAGAAGAGAGAGAATAATCTACATGAAGAAAAAAACAAGAGAATTTAGCAAGTTTCGCTTTGTTCTTTTCTCTCTCTCTCTCTCTCTTCTTTTTCTTTCTACTCAGTGATCATTTCTCAGTTGCAAAGAGGGGTTTGTTTGGCTTTATGCTGGTTAAAAAAAAAAGCGCTTATCTTTTTAATAAAAGGGACTGCGTTTTTCGATAATTTACGGCTCCACCCTTCTTTTTGCTTTTTCAAGCAACATTGTTGCCGTTAACCCATGAAGTTACATCTGTTCCGGCATCTTTCTGCGTACTAATGCTACTTACACACTGAAATGTAAATAAACGGCGTTACTTTATATTTATGTTATATTTTAGTTATCTGATTGCGTTTTGCTCATCTAATGAGTAACACCTATAATTTGATCCTCTCGTCTTTTGTATTTATCTCTTTTTTAATATACATTCATAAATTTTAATAAAATTTCACATAAGTAGTGTCTGTAAAAAAAAATATATAAGATTTTTATCACGTACAAATCATTTAAAATTTTAATGAAAGAAAGATTTATTCAGCTAATATGATTCAAATTCCTTTAACCCATTATAAAGAAAGGTTCTCCTAATATTATTTTCTTTATTTTTCCCTCCTTATTATTATAAAATCAAAATATGCTGGACATTCCGTTTGAATGTATTGATTAGTTTTTTTTTTTTTATCAAATATAATTACTTAAAGTAATGACCACTTATCTATGAATTTGGCAGTTATTTTTCCTTTAAAAAAAGTTCAAGTGGAATGGGGATTGCCTAAGATCAGAACACGCCACAAGCTTTAAAGCTTACAGCAATATATGTAAATTTGGGGGCATGTTTATATTGATGCAAGAATAACAAATTTTATATTATATTTTTATTATTAATTTATTTATATTTAACGATTCACATATCTAAAAATCAAAGCCATTACATATAGATATGATCAACAATAATCAATGTAAAATTATTCTAACCCTTATAAATTATTTACTAATAAATGGACACTAAAAGAATCAATCTAAAGCATTTTATACTTTACCTCTTAACCTCTTTTAAAATTCCAATTTCCAAAATGATATGAATTCCTACATGTAAGATAAATGCTCAATTATTAAAGGTCCAGAAAATCCCTGTGATATAGCCTAAAAGGTAGACTATCTCACCAAAGAGGCGTGAATCTCGTTTAAATACTTGATCATCAAGCCAATATAACTTAACCTAAAAGAAATTATTATTGTCGAGGTTAGTAGTTCAGGCAAGTTGGCCACAATTAGGAACTAGTGAAAGGATGACAGCTTCTGCTTGCCACCATATCTACAAAATCTACTTTGAACATAGGTTTGCCCACCAATCAACACGAACAACGTCTCATGAAGAGTTGTGATAAACACGGCGCTCAAGCGCTATAAATGCAGAGGTCATTGGCTCAAGTATAATATCTCTCTTTGAATACTTGAACCTCTTTGGATATCTAACTGACTTGAGCGTTAGAATACCTTTGCAAGTATCCTCAGTTGCTCTCAAAGTTTCCACATACGACAAAGCGCTGCCCAACCACCTCGCAACCAGTAGCATCATCTCGCCAGACATTTTAGCATCTCGGCATCAACACATATCTCACTTTCTTTTCGTCAACATCCTCTACCTTCAACTGTATGTGGTTAGAGTCAGCTTAATTTGTGTTGGACTTATCACAAAAAGAAGAAAAATACTTTAGAAATAAATCTTACAAATGAATGAATATCTACGGATATTTGTCCGTATCTAAAAACTTAATATAAAATTTAAAAATCACAATAGAAAAATAAATAAAATAAAGTTTTAACATCATATACTAGAAATTCGCTTAACATTTTAAAATTCTCATAAAACTAAAAAATATAAAAATTAACTAAGAATCATGATTCAACTTATAAACAACTTAGAAATGGGTGTCACAACTGTTGCGGTCTTAATCTCTTATTGACTCCTCTGTCACAACTTAGAAATTCTCACAACTGATGCCTATTGTGGGTTGATTACTAAGGCGTTGTTTCAAATTCAAGACAGAAATGCTAGTGCGACGCAACTTTGATTGGGAACCTTCTTAAACGGTTAGGGTTCTTTGATCCTAGACCATATCAAATCTTTAGTATTAAACCAAAGTTAGAGGTGACAACTTTCAAAATGAACGGTTAACACAACACGAGAAATTCAATGTTGGGCTTGATCTGTTTTTAAATTTATATCGTATTGATAAAAACGGACACACAAAAAATTGTGTTGTGTCGTATTACATGCAATCCCCTAAACACAAAATTGACACATTTTAATTTTTACATATTATTTATGTCATGTCATATAATATCAATCTATATAATAAGCAATACCTTTTCAGGTTGGCATATTATTCGTATTGTGTTACGTCAATCTTCAAAATAAGCAAGTTATATTTAGATTGAATGTTTTGACTCATTTTTTAATTCGTATCATGTATGTGTTGAAAATATAGGATCAGTTACCTAAAAAAGAAAATATTCGTATTAAATCGTGTGATGTCGTGTCAACCTTAGTTGCTATCCCTAACCATAACACTTACTTAGTATAAAACTTTATTATATTTTAATTTAATCCTGTATTATATGTAAGTTATTATTAAAAGAGTTTAACATATGATAATAATTATGTAAATATTATACATTCGTTTGCGCAAAAATACTATATAATTACAAAAAAATATTTTCTTTACGAAATACTAATTTCTTTTACCATTCCTTCAAAAACATAACATATCTTGATATAAATAATTTTCTAAAACAAAAATTTGATTTTTAACATTGAAAAATTTATTTTGTAAATTTCACATCTGTGATATTTGATTTAGATATTTTTAATTAAAATTACAGACATCAAATGTATGTATCCATCTTTAAGACAACGCAAACATACTTGACATCGTTTAACTAAAATCAAACTGAATAAATACCGCATAAGCAACTTGGGTATTGCTTTAAAAGTGGAAATAATGTGCGCTTTTTGATTTTAGAGAAAACCTATATTATTCGACATAATACTATTATTCTGAAAAATAAACATGTGACAATAATAATTTTTTAAAAGAAAAAATTCCAGAAGAATAATGTATTTTATATATTCAACTTATTTTCCAAGGATAACTCTAATATCTAACGTCTTAATTAGAATAGGGAAGATACCTGAAAGGCAACTAATAAGAAATCTTCAAATGTATATACGACCATCCAAAAATAATTTTTCTTTCATGCAGGGTTACTCCACATCCTCTCGCCCTCCAAAACCTTTTATCCTTAAGAGTGTAGATTGAAAATAGCTATAACTTCTAATCAAGTATCACTTCATCTTGTCATAATCCGGTTCAACATATTTCAAATAACCAAAACACCAGAAAACCACTTTCAGGGGGGCCGATATTGAAATTAGATACAATGGTACTCTATTTCTTTTTAATTTATTTATTTTTTTTGTAAATTATTTCTTTTTAAAACTCGATATAAAACCATTTATGAGCCTTATATTCTATAATAATAATAAAATAAAATTCAAGACCCTTTACCTATTACCTATTACTTTATAGGTAGTTGGTTCTTGACAATTATCAATTAAAGTAAAAATACACTTCCTCTGAATACATTTTATAGAAGCTCAATCCATTCTATACATCTACTTTGTCATAACCTCGATAAGGAGACTAGCTTGAGGCTTTAATTTTTGCTTTCGTGCGGAAAGCGGGGGAGGGTTGAAAGAGCAAACAGTTCACATCAGAAAAATCAATTATCTCTTAAGCCCAAAGACTCCTAGAAATTTTCTAGCCCGAACAACTAGTAACTTAAAGAAAAGAAAATTCATGAACCAATACCTTTGATATAAAATATGCTCTAAACATGTAGTATTTTATATTTACAGATGCTACAAAATAAGTACGTTTAACACCTAGAAAATTAAGGTATTATGTAGGATTACCATATCACTCATATTTGATCTATGAAGCACCGACTCTGACACGGCGTTTTCGATACGTTCCATATACGTTCTCGATACGACCGTTAATTCGTCGATACGATACAATACGTTTCCGATACATGTATTCGATACGTTGGGAAAAAATATTCGAAGTATCGGTGCTTCATTGTATTTGATTATGGGGCTGTGAAAAGAATTCCTTTGCATTATGAGCGACCTCTGCCTCCAAAATTGCTTCTAGAACAATGTCAGATCCTTTCACATCAGCTGCCAAGACAACCCAAGATTGTTTCAAATCAGGTATCATACTAGAACAAACTGAAGCCAATCAATAATATGCATTACAGCTATGACTGGTCACTCAATCACAGACAGACAAGACAAAAAGCTACCATGCATTCCTATAGAAAGAACGAAAAGAAGGAATTTATGCTTTTCACAATGAAATAAAAAACAATTTTCATAATATCATGGTGCATAACAAATGGGGTAAAGAATAAACCACGAATGAAGTTCAAGCAACAATCTTTACTTCCGGGCCTTCTGGCTAACCAAGTATAGTCCAAATGAAATAATTCTACAGATTAAAAAAAATCACATCTGAAAGCATCTCTGTGTCTGTGAGTGTGTAATGGAAGTAACAAAAAGCTACATCTTTTAGTGACCGTACATATGCTTGTACACAACATACATAATAGGAAGCAATATACAATACATGACTACAATATCTTATGCACAAAGTGTAAATATAAAGAAGCCAAGGAAAAAGCCCCACAACATAAGTATGCAAGACAGGTATTTGATAATCATGGTAAGGAAAGCCAACTAAATAACATAAATTATCATTACCCCCACGATTTGGTAAAACTCCAATGTTTTCAGCTGAAATTGGTAAGACAATAAGCTTTTGTTCATTATAAATCTTCTCGACATCAGTACTACTTGCTAAGAAACCATTCTTCATGGTAGGGGACTCGGCCAATTTGGCATAAGTAGTTGCTTGACTTTGCATATTGCATGAACTGGAGGCCAGTGAAGTTGAATCCTAGAAATAATTATAGACATATAAGCACACAGTTTCTAAAGCAATATATAATTATCTCAAAGTTGCGGGTGTGGTCAATAAACCTTGGCAACTGTGGGGATCGAGTTATTCTTTCCATCATCTTCTTGTTTCCTATTGACTATATTATCAACAACAGAAGAGAACACGATTATACAAAATCTCAGCAACTTTATCAGTAAAAATTTAGAATACTAAACTATGTCCCAAAATAAATCATGTAAATAATACCATTTGATATAGATGTTTGGTCAAGATTATCCACAAGCTTCCGTGTCATGGGGCCAGGATTTATGATTGATATACTTCGTATTTCATGACGAATAGCATCTAGCTGAGCCATTGTGTCCTGTAGTTCCTTATGAACCTAAAAGACAAAATAGGTGAGCAAAACATAATGCAGTTTTTTATAATGGACATAAATCCTTGATGTAATATAAATAGGTCCGTAACTTTTATGCTCTCATTTGATATTATTGTCTCAGAAATTCAAATTGGATAGAATGGAATTGAGATTCTACTATGCCAAATTGTCATCATCTTTTTTCAAATTAAAACCAGAACCTCCATCTTCACTTAGAAATTCCAGGAATTTTTTTAAGCAATTACTTTCTTTCTTGATTTGATTGTCCCAATTTTTTTTTGAGAAACCAAATGTAACACGTTTGCAATCAATGTTGTGACAACTCAGTCTATAAATGTCAAGCGGGTCCAAGGGGAGTCCATGGACTTCCCTTAGCCCATTACCAACCAATATAGGACTCATCACACTTGAATACTCCAACAATAAATACCTAATGAAGCTAATCCTTGTGAGTTATAACTTTGATTGGAGAAAGAAGAGTACCTGGTGAACTTGAGATTGCTGCATAACGTTATCAAACTGACCACGAGCCAGTTGTACATATGCAATAGCTCGACCAGCTAGCCTCCCTGCTGTTCTGGATATGATTGGCAAATCCTTTGGACCTATTGCACATCCATTTACCAGATAAACAATTTATGTTCCTACTATTAAATTTTCCTTCCGATAAACAGAATTAAGAGTAGCATAAACCAACCAATCACAGCAGCAGTGACTCCAAGCAATAGAAATATTTCTCCATATGAAAATCCCAGCATTGGTTACTGTCTTGTTTTGAGAGACAGACTTCTGCAGGAGGGATCAGGAAAGTAAGGGGTTCAATTCTGATCGATGTAGAGTGGGCCAAATTCCTTCAGAATCAATATATTAGTTGGAACAAGATTAGACCCTACAGAGTTTAAGACCTCTCTTGTCTCATTTTATTGTATTAGTTAATTTGCAAAAGCGATTTGCACATTAGCATGAATATATTGCCCTTATATTTGATCGATTTTACAGAAACATGGAAAGAAAAGGTAAGTATTGTTACCATAGTTTCTCCTCAATAGATAACAAGATAGTCATGTCTAACACTTTCTTTTTTATAGTAGTATCAGGTTGCTCATTATTTTTAACTTTTGTAGGAAATTGGTGTGTGCACCACAAGTTATGTGTTTAAAGTCAAAAGACGTAAAAAAAATTGTTTTTCTCAAACCCTGTCAAAATTTTGATGACAAAAAACTCTCAATTTATATGGCTGTTTTCAATTAAGGCAACAAATAATCCACTCAAGCAATGCTTATGATACTCAGTCTTCAGCTCTAGGCATGTCAATAAAAGGTCCATAACAGAAAAAAAAAAAAAAAAAAAAAGGACAAACAAACATATGCTTATACAGATGACAAGAAATGAAAGATTGTAGTTCATATTTTCAAATAAGCCAGTTCATATTATTTCAATGTTGTAAGCTGTTAAATTCCTAAGGTCAGCTCTCTTTTCACCAATTTTTGCAAATTTGAAACCAAGAACTATTCATGGATGTATTGAATGATAGTGCAAGTAGAAGCTTTGATTATTTTCATATCACATGACAAAGCCTGACAAGAACAAGTACAATTCAAAGTCACACAAACACGTTGCAGAAAATCAAATCAATAATAATAATAACAATAACAATATTGGCTGAGAATTATTACTCCAATCACAGTACTGTGTAAGGTCCTTCAGCGTTTAATGGAAATTTCAAAATGAAATTCACAACGAATTGCCATCTAACCTGAAAAAGTAAAATGAAGAGAGCAGAATTAGCAACACATTATTACCGTTTGAATGCTTCCGACAACAGAGGTAGCTGGTGAGAAGTCGGTAAGAGAGAGAAAGGGGCAAAGAGGAGAGAGAGTGGCAGAGAAGACTACGGAAGAATAACAAACAAGGAAGAGAAATGCGCTTGGGTAGTTTGGGTATTTTCTTCTTTTTTTTTTTTGTATCGAGGAATCCAACACACACCCCAATTGTATAACTATCCATGTCCATCATCACTAGGCTAACTTTAATAAACGAGCCAACGTCTGTGGGCTGGCCCAGGCCTGGTTAACAAACTCGTCTCCTTACAAAACTAGGCCTGCTTGATTTGAGGATTAACAATTAGGTTCGATTGGGCTGACTTATCGACCAGCCCGAATTTCGTTTTGAGTTTTTCCCCAAAATAATTCCTACTTTACTATATTTTTTATATTGTGGTACTTAAGATTTGTTTATTATGTTGTATTTTGTTATGTGAACATGATTTGTTCACTAATAGTAGTATTTTAAAACTTTGACCAGTCATCGACTCAGCTAAAGTACTGTCACTGGGTCATTAGTTCAACCGCATATACTGTTCATGTATTAAAAAAATATAAATATATTACTTATATTAAAAATTAATGAAAGAAAACTATCAATAATGGAAACTTCTCCATATTACAGTGATAAATAAAGTGGTAATCAATTTTTTAGCAAGCAAAGGATACTCATATCACAATAAATAATTTTTCAAGCGTATTGGGTTATACTGCTACACTGCAAAAAGACAAAAAAGATTGTAGTTTTCAATGCTTAAGGCTAAAGTTTATGTAGAGGTTTATCTAATCACTATTGCATGTTGTAGGCTTTCAAACAAATGATGAGGTGCACCAGAAACGACCATAGTCGTTTTCAACCAATAAAAAAAATGTCAAACTCTTTATCAACAACATCAAAGAAAAAACAAGCAATAATTTCACACAAAGATGTAAATAAAGATGTAAATAATTTCACATTTAATTATCAATATTAAAGAGCAATGTTTTCCACAGAAAAAAAGAGCAATATTCAGCATAACCAATATAATAATATTAGTGCATGCATGACAATCATTCAATTGCATAAATTAATGAATTTATACTTTGAGCAATTTCTTCTTGGGATTGTAGGAAATAACCGTTCCTAGGGTTCTCTCTCCACCATATTCCTTGCAAATATAGACACCTATGAGTTGTCGAGGGTTGAAAGTAGGATTGGCCACTCTTTGTCTAGGTTTGTTATTAGTGTTGACTTCTTTTTTATTCTGTGAAAAATAGAGCATAAAAAATATAAGATTCCTTGCTTACAATTATAACGCGAGCATTAAACCAAAGCTGCAAATGAAAGTATATGACATTCAATTGTTGAATTATAGTGACCAATTTTCATCAAAAGATTGCAAGTGCTTACACAATTGCATCTAGCTTTAGGCTCTTCTTTATTTTTATTCCCACGTCCTCTGCCAACTTCAATTTCTCCAAAATTACTTGAAGTAATGTTATTGGTTGCTCCATTTGATGAAGCACCTCCTTCAACAATAAAGGAAATCAAGAATGTATATTATGCATATATGAATATGATATAAATGAAATTTTCAATGTAATTAAAAACAATGTCGATACTGATTTTTTTTGTTTACTGAATAATGTATATTATGGCATACACTTTTTAGATAAGTGAATTTTCAAGAGAAGCAAAGACAAGAGAAGAAATAAAAAAGAAATGAAGGAAAAGTGAATATCAATAGTAAATTAATCAATGCGTCTTTATTTTTTAATACATTGAGAATTGAACACAACACTTACTACTCACTACTCACCTCTCACCTCTCACCAGTGGCAGAGCCGGGCTCAAATTTGAGTCCGGGTCAAAAAATTATATGCGTATTTTTTTTTTAATTTTAGTTAATTCATATCATAATATATTTAAAATTGAGAATGATTCGTTTACAAATTTTTTTAAATTACACTATATACTTTCGGAAATACATAATGTAACCTAGTGTACTTTTTTGTGTGGTAAATATGTAACCTAGTGTACTTTCGGGAGTACATAGTGTAGTTTGTAAACAAAAAATTTGTAAATATAACCATCTTCATTTAAATTATATTAAATACAAAGCACCTGAGCAGGCAATACCAAGAAGAATTATAATTTTATTAAATATTTTTTAATTCTACTAAAGATATTTTTTATACAAGTGGAAATTGAACACATAACTCAATACAACTTACCCAAATCTCTTACCAAAAATATTTTAAGCTTTAGATAAAGCCAAATTATAAATTGTAGCTAGGGCCAAATTATGATTTTAACCCTGGTCAAATTATATATAATCATATAATTATATATAATAAATATAATTTGTTAAAATTTAGCCAGGCCACACCTACCATGCATGTGGCTCCGCCGCTGCCTCTCACCACTAGTTCAATCCTCTTGACCAATTTTTTTTTTGCCTTTTTATCATGCTTTTGAAACTTTTTGTGAGTCTCTTTCTTATTTGTTAAAATTTTGAAGAAACATTTTTTGTTATGAAAAAATCATTCCATATAAGAAATCAATTTTATGTTTTGAATCTTGAATGAAATTTATCTATTAATTATACCTGAAGAGAAAATAAATAAAAAGAATAAGTTCAAAAGTATGGAACATTTCTTTTCATACATTTCATAATTTGCATCCCACAAGAACATCAAGAAAGGAAAAATATGGCAAAAAATAAATAAATGTATAAATTAAACATGAAAATTATATGATAAGGGAGAACAAATTAGTCACCTCGAATATCGTATAGAGTCATGTCATCGTGACTCATTTTCATGTAAAGCTCTTTAAGACCCTAAATAAAATTCACCCAAAGATTACAAGATAAAATAAAGACTAGTTTGACAACAATATATATATATATATATATATATATATATATATATATATATATATATATAAAAGCCACTTTAGATAAGTTTGTCTACAACTACTTCTTTTTAACTAAGTATGACCGGTAATACATAAAAATTGCATTTTATCTCTCCTTCACGTCAGTCGACAGGGCTAAGAAGAGAGAGAAAAAAATAACTTTATTGTTATAACTAAGTATGACCGGTCATACTTAGTTAAAAACGAGTAGCTGTAGATAACCTTATCTAAAGTGGCTGTAGAAATACATTTCTCATATATATAGTAAGTTAAACCTATTTGTGTAAAGTTTATGGGAAAAATGTTTCTGCAGTTAATGTAGATAAGTTATCTGCATTTATTCCCAAAACGACGTCGTTTTGGTATTGAAATCTTAAAAAATTATAAATATAAATACTATTATAACCCTAAAATAAATTAAAATTACAAAAACACCATGATTTCCGCCTCAAAACGACATCGTATTGGGCTTACTGCAGATAACTTATCTGCAGTAACTGCAGAAAAAACGAACCCAAAGTTTATAATCTAATTTTTTTTTTTTTGGAAGGTTTATAAATTGAATTTCAATATTTGTGATGGTATATTTATAATAAATTTAAAAGCATTAAATAAAATGATAAATAGGGGAACATCAAAATCTTAATTGTACTTAATGCGATGTTTGTAATTATTTTGTCAAATTCTGATAAAAAGAAAGAAGATTTATACTTGTAAATTTATTATAATTCAATTTTCATAATTAGCTTTAGTGTATCCGAGTCTGATGCCAATTGTCTATTTTATTTTTAAACTTTCGTATAATAAATTATCCATATCTTCGATTTTGATTTAGTATATCTTTTATTGATATTATCCTTTATTAATAAACAATAGTTTTCTTAATACCAACTTTAAATAAATTTTTTCCCGACCCTTTTCAATTAGTAATCATCAAGAGTCAAAATTTAGTGTATATGTTCAAGATTTTTAACTTCATATAATCCTAATTTATGTAGTTTTTCATATGAAATTTCTTTAATCACATCCCATATTCTATTCCTAATAAGTTAAGATTCATACTTGATCTTTGATCTCTCTGTTGTTCTCATATTGTTCAAAATCTTGTTCTTCTTCGCGTAGTTTGTCTCTTTCTCGTTGTACTCAACCTGCATACAAATACTTTTCAGTGAGCAAGTAAATGAATTCTAACAGTATAATAAAGTCAACATCTTAAAAAGATTTTAGATAATAATTAGCTAAAGTCCCATATAAATTGAAAGTTGGAAATGATCACAATTTATCAAGACTAATGAGCAATATATATTTAGTTTGTGGTAGGGTAATGACTTCGATTAGTTCACAATTGCTTGGAGCAATGTTATCGTGGGCTGCTGAACAATGAAAAAAATCAAGTCAGTAGAGTGAAATTAACATTAAATCTATATGAGGAAAAGAAAAACTGGAAAGCGGATAGGAGATGTTTCCGTACAAGAAAGCCATGGTCTCAGCCAAAGAGAAGGAGAGAAAGACTTCGGAGGACGAGGACACTCATCAACTGGAAAGGAGTGTTAAACGTCCTAAGGAATCCTTGAGGGAAGATATACCAATGGATGATGCCATGACTGAAAAGCCTGGCCTAGAGGATCCAAGATATTGTTGAAATGGGAGTTCCATCCAATGGAAATACAAACAATCCTATAGGACGTAAGGTTGTGTCTTACAAAGACAAGGTGTTATCTCTGAATGGGCAAGGTGGTGACTCTGACTCTGATGAGGAGGATTGGATGGCAAGACAAAGAAGAGAAGAGGAAGAGGATGGAATGAAAGACATAGCCTCAGAAAGCAACCCTCTTTGTCCTATCTATAGATTCTCTAAAAGTCAGCATAAGAAGGACTGTGAACAGTGGAGGAAAGCACTTATTATAAAACTACTGGGGAAAAGGATAGCTCCTAGCTACCTCATGATGCACCTGCAGAAGATATGGGGCTTAGTAGGCATGTATGAACAGTTCGTTTTGGATAATGGTCATATCCTTCTAAAATTTTCTAACGACAGAGACTATCGTCATGTTCTCCAGGAAGGTCTTTGGATCGTTTTTTATCATTATCTAGTTGTACAGAGGTGGAGGCCTTTCTTTAATCCTAACAATGATGCTACCCGGAAGCTTGAGATCTGGGCTCGGATTAGAGGCCTTCCAATGGAGTTCTATTCGTCCTATCACCTGTGGCGAATTGGTAACCTCATAGGAAGGACTCTGAAGGTAGACAAAAGATCGGTCAGGAAGAATGAAGAAGGGGAAGGATAAATTATTGATAAAACTCGATTCCCCAGGATATGCATCGAGGTTGATCTCAGGAAGACCCTAGTTCCTTCGTTCATGCTGGGGGAGGATACCTACCAAGTAGGATACGAGGGGTTGCACATGATTTTCTTCTCCTGTGGAAAATATGGTCACAGGCAAGATCAATGCATTCAGATGGAACCAGGAAAACAGGAAAAGGTCATTGCTTCGGCCAGTTCCCCAGAACACCAGAAGTATGAGATAAGGGACGTGGGAGCAGTGACGAGAGATCAAGTGAAGGAAGATAAGGCTTTCGGCGATTGGATGGTGATCCAAAGAACCAGGAAGAACCGCCGGCTAAAGCCTACTTCGGTGGTGAAGAACGGTGGGGACAGAAGTCATCCAAATGTTCCTAAAGGGCACAACAACCAAGTCTCTGTTAGGTCAGGCTATGGTGTGATAGAAAATAGCAGCAGCCCTATAAAAATCGTGACTGCATTAGAAGAACTTTGCAGCGCAGTGTCCAATATAAGAGGGAATACTAATGAAAGAGGTTCTCAGAAACCAGGCCCAGGGACAGCAGACAAAGTGAAGGAACCCTTTCATAGGAAGGGTGTCTCAAAAGGAAGAATCGAAGCACCTATCACTAGGAAAGCCAGGAATAGAAATGTGGGTCCCCCTCCCATGCAGCCTCCCCAACGTAAAGATAAAGGACCGATACAACAGGGGTTGACTATCTTAAAAAGACAGGAGGTAGGGACCAGTTCCCTTGGCCCTAATGCTGAAAGACAACCACCCTCCAATGTAATACTCGAAGTAGGTACTGAGGATCCACAGCAGAAGAAAGAGAAGGACCGAAAGGAGCAAAATATACTACAGCTGATGAGAGAATCAGATAGCTATCAAGAGAATATGATACTGAACCAAAACCTAGCAGCAGTGAGAGCTACTATGGGACCCATGTAGCCTCCCTTGGTCTCGTTACTGGGCTCTCCTCATCTGTTAATCTTTTATGATTAAGTGCAGCTGGAATTGCAGAGGGGCTGCTAAGAAAGGTTTCTTGGCACTCATTCGTGACCTTAAATTTCGCTTTAACATTAGTCTACTGGCTCTCTTAGAGACTAAAATTAGTGGGGATAAAGCGGCTAGGATTAGCTCCAAGTTCGGCTTCCAAAAAGTCCACATACAGGATCCTATTGGGTTCTCAGGGGGTATTTGGTTGATGTGGGATGAGGTGGATTATACTCCACAGATACTCAAATCTAATCATCAACTCATCCATGCCAAGATCCGTTATATTAATCAGCCCAAAGTCGAATACATCTCCATTGTGTATGCGAGTCCGCGTAGATATGAGAGACGTGCTTTATGGAAAGACCTAGTGGACCTAAATGTTGACAGTTCCTCTCTATGGGTGGTTATGGGAGATTTTAATTCCCTATTGGACCCTAGCGAGAAATCAGGGGGTGGTTCCTTCTGTTGGGGTGCTTCCCAAGACTTTAGGGATTGCCTTTCAAAGTGTAACATCCAGGACTTGGGGTGCAAAGGTCCTTTTTTCACGTGGAAGAGAGCTAGGATTCATGAACGGCTGGATAGGGTGTGTGTGTCTGAGGCCTGGAGCACCCATTGGCCAAACCAATCGGTTCTAAATCTCCCATTCTATAGCTCGGACCACAGACCGATTCTCATCATAGACGAAGGTGCTAGCAACAGGGTTATTGGCACCAGGAGCTTCGAATTCCAGGCTGCCTGGCTAACAGATGATAGCTTTGGTAATATAGTAAGTAACTGTTGGAATAATGACAATGATTGGTCCACTAACTCTGAGCAATTTCAAGCTGATGCTTCCCATTGGCATGAGTACACGTTTAGAGCTTTGCAAAAGCAGAAGAATAGGATCCAAGCTCGGCTGAGAGGTATTGACGTTCGGCTTGAGATGTATCCGGATGAAGGTTTGGAGCGGCTGCAACAATCTCTTTGGAAGGAGCTCGATGTAATCCATGTCCGTGAGGAGATTTCCTGGTTCCAGCAAGCCAAATGCAACTGGATGGAACTGGGAGATAGAAACACAAGGTATTTCCATGCAGTTACAGTGGCAAAACATCGTCGGAATAGGATTATCACCATGAAGGATGATGACGGTACCTAGATGGATGATCCTCTAAAAATCGAAGATGGTGCAGTCAGTTATTTGAAAGGTTGTATGGAGACTGTGTGGACAGTGGGGAAAGCTTTCCCATTACGGTGGGATTTCCTAGTTTGAACAGTGATTTAGTCAATTTGGGGGAGATGCCCACCGCTCTGGAGATAAAACAGTCCATTTTTAGTATGGGTAAACTCAAATCCCCAGGACCGGATGGCCTCAATGCCCTCTTTTATCAATCTCAATGGAATGTGATAGGGAACTCCTTTTGCAAATTGTCAAGTCTGTCTTCCAGGATCCGTCCTTGGTCTAGAATCTTAACCTCACCTCCATTTGTCTGATTCCAAAAGTGGAAAATCTTGAATATTTCAATCAATTCAGGCCCATAAGTTTGTGCAACGTTTCTTATATAGCAATAACGAAACTCATTGCTAACCGTGTCAAGCGTTTCCTTCCTCGCCTTATGTCTCCCAACCAGTGCAGCTTCATAAAAGGAAGGGTTGGAGCAGATAATGTGGTGATAGCCCAGGAAATTATCCACTCCATGAGAAGGGAAAAAGGAAAGGTTGGATGGATGGAAATCAAGCTTGATCTCGACAAAGCCTATGACCGTCTAAAGTGGGAGTTCATACATGATTCTATGGTCGATGTCGGTCTCCCTCCAAGCCTGGTCACTCTCATAGATGCCTGCATTCGAACCCCAACTATGAATATTATCTGGAATGGGAAGGAAACTAGATGCTTTAAACCTAAGCATGGTCTTCGCCAAAGTGATCCCATCTCTCCCTATCTTTTTGTCATGTGTGTTGAGAGGCTGGCCCATCTAGCACATTTGATTAATCAGATCCTTCGCACTTTCTGTAATGCTTCGGGCCAAAAGCTTAGTACTGCAAAATCGAAGGTGTTTTTCTCGAAGAATGTTTGTTTCCCTAGAGCTAATCAAATCAGTGAGTGCTTAGACTTTGGCATAACAGGTGATCTTGGGAAATATATAGGAATTCCCATGCATCACAAGCGTGTCTCCAAGGATTCATACGCACACGTTCTTAGGAAAATGCAGGAGCGACTGAGCTCTTGGAACCAGAATGCACTTTCCATGACTAGGAGAATCACTCTTGCAAAGTCTGTCTTGAGTGCTCTTCCATCATACAGTATGCAAACTGGGGCCCTTCCACTTTCATTATGTGATGACATAGACAGAAACACCAGTAACTTCATCTGGGGTTCTTCCCAAAACCATAGGAAGATACACCTCATCAACTGGGAAAAGGTTTGCAACCCGAAAGCCACAGGTGGGCTTGGCTTCAGACAAACTAGACTAGCCAACAATGCGCTAATGATAAAGGCAGGCCATAGACTGTTGAAAGAAAAGGATAGCCTTTGGAGTAAGGTTCTTAGAGGTAAATATAAAGTGGGGGATGACTTAATTCCCGCGATCAGCAGGAGTAAAGATGGATCTAATTTCTGGAAAGGGATTGTATCCTGCTGGGCTGATGTAAGAAAAGGATCCAGGATTGCTATTGGGGACGGGCGTGGGACTATGTTCTGGTCCGACAAAGGGATTCCCCAAATCGATAACCTTCTGCAGGTGGCGGTAGCTCCAGTTGCACAGGAAGCTCTCCATTGGAAAGTTGCTGAATGTGTCTCGCAGGATGGGGAATGGGACTGGCAGCGTTTCAATCATTTGATTCCCCAGCAGCTGTGTGCTGTTATTGCGGGTATGATCCCCCCTGATCTTGGAGAAGGCCCTGAACTTATCATTTGGGACCTTACAACAGATGGAAATTTTTCTACAGCCTCTGCATCCTCTCTTATTAGCCAAACCAGTGAGCTTACTCAGGATTGGAAGATGTTGCCTTGGAGGTGGAGGGCCCCCCATCGTATCCAAAACTTCCTCTTGCTACTATTGGGGAACAATCTCCTAACGAACAATGAAAGGGCAAGAAGGCACCTGACCAACCTTGCCACATGTCCTAGATGCAACTTTCATACCGAAGACTGCAATCATATATTCAGAGGATGCCCTTGGGCTATTCAGGTTTGGAGTGCTCTTTGTGGAGCTATAAACGTGAACCACTTTCTAACTGGTAATCTGTATGAATGGCCGGTTGGTAACCTAAAGTGTGTGCAGCGGGCTTCAGGGAAAGAGGAATGAAGTACGGTGTTTGGAGTGACCTGCTGGATGATTTGGAAGGAGCGCAATAATCTTGTTTTCAACAACAAATCCTCTAACGCTGATGGTGTTATACTTAGTGCCACTGCTTTCGCTCACAACTTCTCCCACACCCAACACATGTTCGGCAAGGTGGTCACAGGGAAGAAGCCCAGAACGGAGAAGCTCATTGTGTGGTCTTCTCCACCGGTGGACTGGGTGAATGTTAACTACGATGGATCAGCCTCTTTGACAGGCTCTCAAACTTCCTGTGGAGTGGTCATAAGGGACTGCACGAGTAGATGGATCTTAGGGTTTTATAAATCCCTGGGCATGAGCAACTCCTTGAAGGCTGAGCTTTGGGGGATGCTGTGGGGACTTCAAGTGGCTTGGGATAAAGGGTTTCGTAGGGTTTTGGTGGAAGGAGACACTGAAACAGCCATTCTACTGACGAAGGAGGGATGTACTGAGCACCATCATCTCTTCTCCATAATCTGTAGAATCCGTAGCAGTATAGATAGGGATTGGGAGGTAAGATTAGCCCACATCCACAGAGAAGGGAAAGCAGTAGCAGATGTTTTAGCGTCCTTGGCTTCTCCTTTGAATTGGGATTTACACACCCTTAGGAAAATTCACCTCCCATGCATGGAGGTTATTAGAAAAGATTTCCAAGGTGTTTCTACACCTAGGATGATTCGAGTGGTTCTTTAGGCAGTGGCCTATTTTGTTTATTTATATTCCGTTTATCCAAAAAAAAACATTAAATCTATATCATGTGGTATATATTAAATACGAAGCCTTAAAACAAACTTGTGCAACAATGTCTAAAATTGTGATCTCATAATCATTTGATACGATTTTCAAAGTGATAACTCTCTCCCACAAGTCTTAACAATTCTTACGCAACTATTCAATAGAACAATCTAAACTGTTGAGTATATTTCAAAACAATGCAACGACTATAGACAATGACTAAGATATTTACCCTGTAATTTTAGTCGTTGACTTGGAGGATTCCTAAATTAATGGCTAAAATATACTGCCTGACGTATAGTTACCAGGATCTTGTATTATAACACCCTAGTGGCCCTCTAATTTTAGTCGTAATGCATATGTTTACAGGAAAGGTTAATCACAATATCAAGATAAGCAATTATCATTCTTTCTTATTAGTTCAATAAGGTAGTACAAGTTAGGAAGAAAGGAAAATTCATTAATTTATTTAAAGGAAAAAATATACCTGGAAAACTTAGAGCAGGATTAGTGCAACATCCAACTACCCCTGCATTAGTGATAGCAGATGTGAAAGTATTCACATTATCAGTGCAAGAACACTAAGAAGCAAAAATGTCATGCTATATATAGTGAAATATTTTATACCATTTTCCTTTCTTTGAAATCTTTTCGTTATTCCAACAGCAAAACTGGAAATGTCTAATGAGGCAAAGAAAACCGGTTATATACGAGCTAAATTAAAAAATTAAAAATCATGAGATACAAATATGAACCCAGTGGACAGTATAAAACAGACAGGGAAAAAGCCACAAAGATTTTCAATGTACCTTTATATAGGACCATGCTTGTAACAAAAATCCTATAAAACCTTTCTTTTTAAACAATCCATTGTTGGAATTAATGAACAATGATCTATTGGTTATGAATAAGAAGTGGGTTAATAAAGGAAAGAGAAGAGGGAAGTTGAAGAGGTGTGTGGGTTTTTCACAAAGTCCCAGATTGGACAAATAGTAGGAAGAGGGAGAGTTTATAAGCTCCCACTTCATTCTCCTAGATTGGCCCTTTGGGTCACTACACATTTTGTGGAGGGGGAGGAGCTAGGTGGGCTTTGGTCCACCACACGCGCGCGCCGCCGCCGCCGGCTGGCTCGGTGCGGTGTATTAAAAATAATTTTTTATTAAATTATTTTGTCCAAAAATTTGTCCGTTGCTTCCCTCCAAATTTTGAACCCAAACGTTTCTACCCGCCGGTTTTTTGAGCAATTTTGAACCGAACCGGTTCTTCCCTTTCGCGAACCGGTCACCGGTCGTACCCGTTCACTGCCGTCAGACACGGCAGTTCGTCGCCGACGATTTTTCATCGTGACCGGTCAGTGTCTATTTATAGACACTGACACCTTCAGAAATTGTATCCACCAGACATGTCTGTTCAAACAAGGGGATGTTCTACTCCTATACTCCCACTGATAATGATGAGAAACTTTATATGGGTAACTCATCTACTTCAAAAGTTGAAGGTGTGGGCAAAGTGGCTTTGAAGATGACATCTGGCAAGATAGTGACACTGAATGATGTGCTATATGTGCCTGATATTCGCAAGAACTTAGTTTCTGGATCTATGTTAAGCAAGAATGGCTTTAAACTTGTTTTTGTTTCTGATAAGTTTGTACTTACTAAGAATGATGTGTATCTAGGAAAGGGCTACCTTAGTGAGGGCCTTTTCAAATTGAATATGATGACTGTAAACAATTCCAATATTATTAATAATACTACTACTTCTGTTTACTTGCTTGAGTCTTCTAATTTATGGCATAATAGATTAGGACATGTTAATTTAAGGTCAATTAAAAGTTTAATTCATTTAGATTTATTACCTAAATTGTTTAAATAATAAGTGCCAAGTATGTGTTGAATCAAAATTTTCGAAATTACCTTTTAAATCATTTGAAAGATCAACCGAACTGTTAGATTTAATACATACTGATATATGTGACATGAAATCTACACCATCTAGGGGTAATAAGAAATACTTTATTATATTTATTGATGACTGCAGTAGATATTGTTATGTGTACTTACTTAATAGTAAAGATGAAGCTATTGTCCACATCAAAAAATAA